TCACTAGAAAGTTTCTTTTTGGTCGATTACGCTCACTTCGCATCCGGTTCGCGCCATGTTTCGCTGGTGACTACGTTATCGCGCAAGCCCATTGAGTTCTTTCTGATATGCTCATCTCGACAATGAACCATTGCGTGCGACAGCTTGCACACCTTACGAACTTGAATTCACGGAAGAGAATCAGATGTATAAATAGCAGAGCAAACGTGTGTTCATGGCGTTTCTAAAATTTGCAGAATAAATAATTCTCAAATGTGGTGGCATTGTTCATGTTTTGATTCACTAATTTTGTTAAGTTTGGCCTGGAAATTCACCTGGGCAGACGCCATGGTGCGTAAGCCTGTCTACTGGAGAGCCTCTCAATCCCTTTGGCACCCAGTCTGCCAGACGCTGTCGAAGATTTGAGTAATTACCCAGACCATGTGACAAGCGAAGGCGAGTTCCTGACTTTCAACTACGGACCCTTTTGTCGTCTCTTCGAGCAGAAGCGGTGACTGATGCCCTCGGCGACTCATCGGGCGACGGGGAAGCTGGCGTGACCGGCGCCAGAGCTGACGGGGGATCGGCGCTCTTTTAATCCTCAATCAAGTAGCCGACCAGCCGACTGCCTATGCCCGCCAGGCATTGTCCCTGCTAGCCGGAGGATGAGACGTCGTGTCGCCACGACATCGTAAACAGTTCGAGAGGACAACAAAGACAGCATCTTCCTTGGAAGAGGCCATGGCGGCCACCGCAAATCGCCCCGCTAATTAAGCGAACAAATCGGCGGACCCTTGGATGTATGCTGTCAGGATCGTGGGAACTCTCGACTAGCGGCACACACACGACCAGGAAGAGCCCTGCTGGCGCCACCTTGCAGTGCAGTGTTCACAACTCAATATTGCACGTTCACGCGGACCGTGCATGCTCGTCCCCCTCACCTGTTGTGTGTGTGTGATTGGTGTTCCACTCGGAGAGGAGGAGCCCGACAGGGCTTAAAACGACGCCGCAGAGTACGGGACGTCGCTCTGAACCATGTAACGGTTCAACCACCACGCTCGTGGTTTGTGAAACCTCTAACCTTTCTTTGTTGTAAATATGTGTAAATAGTGCCATAAACCTGTTTTTGTTCTCGCATCCTCCAGCGACCTTCCTTCCGACCCATTCGCAACAGCTGGTACCAGCGGTAGGATGCCATCAGCGAACTTCCTCCTTCAACCTTAACAATTTTCATACAGCGTCGATCGAACTGTTCTCACAATTTGGAGTGTGCCTTTCTGTTCGGTTCACACTGCACGGAATATGTCGTATGGAGCGCAATATTAGTGCTTGTTCTCAGCAAGGAAGATGCAATACAACGCAAAAAAATCCATTTTCGTACGTAGTTATCGCATAAAAGCCTAGACTACCATCTTATAATAAAATCGTGGTTCTGGGACGCTAAACCCTCGATATTGTTACCCGAACAAAGGTTGAGCTCCAAGACCATATCTTACGTGCAGCGTGAACCGAGCAGGAAGGCACACTTTTAATTGCGAGAACAGTTCGATTCACGCTGTCTAAATTTAAATAATTGAATCACACATGGACAACACCACTGAATTTCATATTTATTGTGCAGCTTTTACAAACGCCTCGAACGTGTGCTTGCTCTGCTTTTTATACATGATTCCTTCTGAGCAGCGTCTGCAAACTGAAATACAAAGGCGCGTAAGCTGTCACACGCACTGGTTCACTGTAGAGATAAGTGTAAGAGAACGAACGCCATGGGTGCACGCGATAACGTAACCACAGGGGAAACGCGGCGAAAACGAGATTCGAAGTGAATGCATTGGACCCGCCGGTGAGGCAGACTGGAAACAAAAATTTACTAGTCAAAGTGACATATATATCCTTAACTGCAGCAAGCATATCATTTTAAGCGCTTGGTGGCGCTGACCTCAGACCAAGCGAGCCGAGGCCACGCGTCGAAGCGTTAAAGTGAAAGGTCCTGACGGCTGTACATAGTGCATATAAATGGCTCACCGTTAACATGTTGGGGAAGGGTCGCTTTGGGGTTTATTTCGCAGGGCTCGCTGAAGGACATCATTCATACTATCGCCATTCGATACCTTGATTGATATGTGGGGTCTAACGTCCCAAAACCACCATATGATTATGAGAGACGCCGTAGTGGAGGGCTCCGGAAATTTCGACCACCTTGGGTTCTTTAACGTGCACCCAAATCTGAGCACATGGGCCTACAACATTTTCGCCTCCATCGGAAATGCAGCCGCCGCAGCCGGGACTCAAACCCGCGACCTGCGGGTCAGCAGCCGAGTACCTTAGCCACTAGACCACCGCGGCGGGGCACCCCATACGATACCTTCTATACCAGCCTCGCTTGCCATGCTTTTCCTCGTGGGTGTGCACAGCTAATGGGAGACACGTATGCAGAACCCACCACCTCTCCAAGCACACACCTCATTCAAATGGTGGTTCACCTCGAGGACATTTAGGACGACCTATAATTGAGACCGAACTGGTACTCCATCTTGGTGAAGTGTTCGGCTCACCCCCTTTATTGTATGACACGATGCGAACTTTCGCTCTTCTACTACACGCTCTGTTAGCCATTGAGTATGTCTTAAAAACTCCTGAGCGCTTATCGTCGCCATGGGATTGTACTACTGTTTGCTTTGTTTGAATCATTATTACGCATTCGAATACTTTTTTTCAAGTATCATGAAAAAAAAAAGTCGCTTCATGGCTTAGTGCTTAGCGTCGCGCGCTGCGAAGCGCGAGGCCCAGAAGCTGCGAAACTTTTCCTTCTCTTAGGCCTGGCGGTTTATTTCCTCCTCTCGTTCTTTCTTTTCGACGACGATAGTCTTTCTTGGGGACCCTCGACAGAAAAATTTTGGTCTGCTCTGTCTGTACATTTGTCTGTTTGTCCGCTCTAACGATACCTCGAACGGCACCAAACGGCCAACCCCATCCGCAGCGCTCACCAATATTGCTCAAGGTTTAGCGTTCATAGTTGGGCGATTGTCAATTAAGAAAAGCAAATATTCCGCACATCTGAGGCACCATAACAGCACGTCTATGTTTTGTATGTCTGCCTTAATACTAGAAGAGGCACACAGAAGTAACTCTAGGGACTGTAGCGTTTATCGCGCTGCGCTGACTGTGCAACGCGATGCTCAAGGAGGTGTTTCCAACGCTTTGCTACGACGACACGGTGGTGGCACCTGCCCGTCACTTTGCATTCTACACCTTATCAACTCCGAGACTGGTGCGCATATTTCTGCGCGGTCGCGCGTGCCTTCGTTTTCGAAGATAACTGCCAGATAGCGCTTGTGTCTAAAGTGCCTAGATGCGCTTGTTCGCCTCTGCTACACACTCGAGGCGCTCTAACGCAGCGTCTTTGGAATACCATTCACCGATTTTCTTGCGCAGAACATCAATAAACGTTTTGTTCACTCTCTCCAGAGGCAAGACTATCGTCTTTCGACGACATTTACAGTATAAATGTAGATTCGGACCAATTTTTTTCACTTGTTTTTTTTTCGTTTCTGCTGTCTTTTTATTGCACTATTTATTGATATTTTTCTTCCTATTTTTTCCCTTCTTCTCTATTTGTGGCTGGCTTCCCGCTTTTGCATAGCTGGCTTCGCTTGCGTAACGCCAAGCGATGACAGCATAAGATAATCGACCGACACATAAACGATGGTGGCAAAATTTGCCACTGCAGCCTCTCCCCTTCATTACATCGAATGACGAAGCAAAACATGTTGCCGTTGCTGATGAATTGATGAAACCCAGAGCAATATTTTAAAAAATGGCAGCATATTCATGGAGTAAATGATGGAGAGTGGGGCGAAGCATCCGTCCGTCCATTCGTTCTTGCTTCCGTCCGTCCATGCGTCCGTCGGTGTGACCGTCCGTGCGTCCATTCGCCCATCCGTGCGTGCGTCTGTTCGTGCGTCCGCACGCCCATCTGTGCGTCCGTCCCTTCGTTCGTCCATGCAACCGCCCCAGCATCCGTCCATGCGTGCATCCGTCAGTGCAGCCATCCGTGAGTCCGTCCATGCATCTGTCTGTGTGTCCATTAGTCCATCTATTCAACACTTTAAGTACCAGCATCTCGCATCTTTTCAGCATATATTCCCGATATAGAAGCACCGCCATCCAGCGGACATTTCAGGGACTAAACGAGAGGTGGCACACGCACACTTTCTTACGGCTTGCGCTTCGTGTCTACTTCCCACCTTCAACCACCTCGAGTTCGTGGTATATACTAGTTCACTCTATTCATGGCACTGCGGCCGAACGCTCGCTAAACCTTTCTAAAACGAAGGAGGTTACGCCCAGCGAGTATAACGTAGCAACCCTTTCTTGTCAGATGTTTCTCAATGTACATGCCAATGGCTGCTAATGGGGAATGAGACACAGGAGAATTCGGCTTTTACTTTCTTACGGCTTGCGCTTCGTACCTACTTCCCAACTTTAACCACCTTGAGTTCATGGCATATGCTACTTCACTGTATTCATGGCACTGCGGCTCCACGCTCGCTAAACCTTTCTAAAACCAAGGAGGTTACGCCCAGCGAGTATAACGTAGCAACCCTTTCTTGGCAGATAGTGCTCAATGTACATGTTAATGGCTGCTAAGGGGGAATGAGAGACATGGGAATTCGGCTTTTAGTTAACGCACACGCTATGAATTATTTATTGTTCAACAACGCACAGGAGAAATCTTCCCCCGGCACCACCCTGCAGGTCAAAACGTAAGACTGGTTACACACTACGACTATGACTACGACTACGAGGGACGAACGGGTGCCTCTATAAGGAACTTTGCCCCTAAAAGCCGGATCGCAGTGCAAAGTTTTGGATTAGCTTCGCTTACTTGAGGTTACTTAGGCAGCATCTATATTTAGGTCAAGCACATTTTCACTTTAATCTGTATGCTTTGCAAGGCGCCATGTACCAAGCACAAGACCTTGTGTTTAGTGAAGCAGATCCCTGCTTCGGTATCTCACCCTTGAAAGGCGAGGTGGCCACCTCGAGCATTCGTCGCGTCTCGTTGGCCACTTTCTCTTGGCCACAGCTGAGACCCCGTGACAGGACCTCCACGTTGGCCGCGAAGTTCTCCGCGGGGCCCGTCAACACCAGAAAGTAGATGTACGCCATCAGCGCCAACCGGCCTTCCCCTGTAAAACGATAGTAATGTGCTACAAGACTCGTATCGTTATTAAAGTTAGCTATAAGCTGCTCAGGTTTTGTGTCGTGTCCAGTCGCGTGGTACATCATCATAAAACAGTCAGACATGCCATGTGACCACCATCTTGACTACAGAATGTTTAGATAAGCCGTCTCGCCACAGGCGGGCACACGAGGGAAACTCCTGTCCTAGTAGCCTAGGGGGACCACCATGTCTTATACCATTAATATCTAGACCGTCATAGTTCTGACACGTATTAAAGGCTTCGCAAAAAAGACATTTTTGTTTGTTTCATTGTTATGCAGTGTGAACGCGTTTCACACACCGGTGTCAGTTATCGAACAAAATTTTTTCATCGCTGAGCATTTGCAAGCCAGCCCCACCGCTATGGACATTATCTCGGCGTAGTTTCGGTGAGTTTGCGAACTTTGCGTCCTGCACTCAGCTAATATCACTGGCCAGCAATTCACTCATCATTGCCTACGAGCCGATGACAGATTTACCGCTAATACGCTGGGAGCTGCTGCCTCTCCATGACGTCACACTGCAATAAAACGTCCTTGAGAAGCTCCCCCCCCCCCACCCCGATACCTTGAATGCTTTTTTTTTCCTTAGGCAGCGGTATTAAAAACACATTCAGTGCATTTGCAGTCACCACAATATTCTTTTAGGGGCGAAGCACCTCATGGTAAAGGCTTGTCCCCCCCTTCGTCGTAGCCAGCTGATGACGATGAAGATCAAGCGTGTTACAGACCACACATTCCCTTTCTGTGACCGCGGCACAGCACATGCAAGGTACCCAATATGTGCCATGACGATGATCACAAACAACGGCAAGCTTGTGCAGTCATCTCAATATGCATTTCTTCTTACCGGAAAGAACCGACAACCACCAGGGAAACTCTCTTGTAGAATTGTCCTCAAGACTATGTACCTGCCTCTCTAAGGGAAACGTGATGAAGTGCATCGGCATTACACTGCGTCAGCATGAAACCAAATATAGGATCGCACCCTTCATACCGGCAGAAGATTTTAACGTAGATATATTGTGGAGTATAATTGGCTCATTCCATATATGACATCCAGATATACTGTGCGATGCAGATCATTCTACATGCAACGATGACCAGGGGAGCCTACATCGATCTAGTCTTTGCCGATACTTCAATTGTATCCGATTCAAGAACCATTGTCGCTTCAATTCACTGAGCCGCAAAGCTTTCATAATGAAGGGTCAACGAAAGCCGCATCTAGGATACCATATACAGCAAGGAATAAAACAGTGGTATACTGTACCACCCTGTGTTTGTCATGTCTTCACATGATGGACAAAATGTGCGGAGGATTCCTGGTTTACCAGATTACCTCCGGAGCTTCAACCACTCTCAACATCATTCTCCTCGTATATATGCAGAGATGTTTTAGGAGCGAAACTCCTTATAGCGGCACCCGTTCGTCCCTCGTAGTCGTAGTCGTAGTCAGTAGTGTGTAACCAGTCTTACGTTTTGACCTGCAAGGTAGTGCTGGTGGGAGGTTTCTCCTGTACGTTGCTGAACAATAAAAATTCCTAGCGTGCGCGTTAACTAAAAGCCGAATTTTTCTGTCTCTCATTCCCCATTAGCAGCTATTGGCATGTACATTGAGCACTATCTCCCAAGAAAGGGTTGCTACGTTATACTCGCTGGGCGTAACCTCCTTGGTTTTAGAAAGGTTTAGCGAGCGTTGGGCCGCAGTGCCATGAATACAGCGAACTAGTATATACCATGAAGTCGAGGTGGTTAACGGTGGGAAGTAGACACGAAGCGCAAGCCGTAAGAAAGTGTGCGTGTGCCCCCTCTTGTTTAGTCCTAGGAAGGTCCGTTGGATGGCGGTGCTTCTATATCGGGAATATATGATGAAAAGACACGAGATGGTGGTACTTGGAGTGTTGAATAGATGGACGAACGAACACACAGACAGATGCATGGACGGACTCCCGGATGGCTGCACCGACAAGTGGACGCATGGAAGGACGCAGGGACAGATGCATGGACGAACGCAGGGACGGACGCACGAACAGACGCACACACGGACGGGCGAATGGATGCATGGACGGTCACACAGACTGACTCATGGACGGACGGAAGCAAGAACAAATGGACGGACGGATGCTTCGCCCCACTCTCCATCATTCACTCCGTGGATATGCTGGCATTTTTTTAGGGTTCTCTACGCCAGTGTTTTTTGAACGCGATAGTCTTTCTTGAGGACCTTCGACGCAAACAATTTGGTCTGCCTGTCTGTCTGTACATTTGTCTGTTTGTCCGCGGTAGCGATTTCTTAAACAGACCTAACGATACGTTAAACGGCCAACCACATTCGCAGCGCCCACCAACATTTCTCAAGTTTTAGCGTTTATACTTGTGCAATTGTCAATACAAAACCAATTATTGCGCATATCTGAGACACCATAACAACAAGTCGATATTTGCTATGTGTGACTTTATACTAGAAAAGGCGCACATAAGTAATTCTAAGGACCACAGCATTTATCACGCTGTAGTGACTGCGCAACGCGATGCTCAAAAAGGCGAGTATTTTTACCGTGTCGTGGTGGCACCTGCCTGTCGCTTTGCGTTCGACACCTTATCGCCTCCGAGACAGGCGCGCATCTTTCTCCACGGGCGCACACGGTTGCCTTCGTTTTCGAAGATAGCTGCCAGATGGCGCTCCTGTCTAACTTGCCTCAATGCTGCTCGTTCGTCCTTCGCTGCACGGATCGAGACTCTTCAACGCAGCGCTTCCAGAATACAATTCACCAATTTTCTCGCGCAGGACATCAAATAAACGTTTTGTTCACTATCTACACACGCAATACTATCGTCTTTCGGACGACATATGCAGTAAAACATGCAGATACGGTGCCAGTTTTTTTTTTTCTTTCTGGTTTTAGAGCAACAATAAGACGATATTCAAAACTCATGTAAGTACTCTTTTAATAGACATGGCCACGCAGGTCTTTGATGGGAACGGTGCCAGAAGACTTCTCTGACGAATTCCAAGGACTGTTTACTTCCCATGTTCGCTGCCGAAAAGCGGTGGACCAAATGCAGGCGATCATCACAAACGCGTCCATCGCTGCTTTTTTTAATTAATTTCTTTGCGTACTGCAAGCAACTTTGAGCGCCTATCAACGTATCTATGTATCTATCTCTTTCTATATATCCCGCACCCTACGTCCGGGTGCTCTCATTCTCATGATCCCCTCTCAGCTCGCAGGTAAACTGAAATCATTATGGGAGCTGAAAGATAGTTTGACAAATATGACTCGCTCGTCATGCTATGAAAAACCTGCCAGGACTGCAAGGAAAGCGCCGCATAGTCACAGTGAATGGGGAAAAGCGGCATTTTAGAGCCTTTTCAAAACACTCTTCGGGTAACTGCTACAAGCCCTCTTGCAGGGTACCCACAATGCGTTAAATAATTATAATTTTTATGTAGTAGGCCGGAATTCATTATGCTGTCCTTCATTCGAAATTCTTCAGAGAATCGTGGCATCTGCTACACAATTGCAAGAAATTTTGTGCATTTTTTTATGCCGAGGCTGGCGACACTGAATAATTATGACCAATGTGGGTATGCGCCACAGTGAATAGGTGAAGAACAACTTTTGTAATGAGTTGGAGCATTGCACGACCCACTCGTTGCACTATTCGCATTCTGCGAAACCTGTTTGTTTCTTTGCGGTTCTAAAACAGCTTATTACTCTTACTAATGCGACTCCTTTCCCGACATCAAGCCAGCCTATGGCGAGTTTGCAACGGAGCTTCAAGCATCATCGTGGTTCTGCAACAACAAGTAGTGGTAGTCCTACCGAATATACACCAATTTTAAAATTCCTTGAGAGCTGTCAATGGTTTCACCTCGACAACCACTACTAAACAAACTCCTGCGTTTTCTGAAGTTCCACAAATTCCGACATGCACTGTCGGAAGTAGAGCCATGGCCACGTATGTGTAAAGCACGCGAGGAGCTGGTTTTTGCCTCTGCGGGGCGAAACCTCAAGGCAGTTTCGGGCTCCTGAAGAGCTGTATCAGAAGCATGTGCGGTCTAGCTGTCAGGCTGACCACATCAGAACCCGAACCTGCCTCGAGGTTCCGCCCCGCATAGTGAAAACCGGCTCCTCGAGCACTCTACACAGGCGTGGCCACGGCTATACATTCTTGCGGGTCGCGCATCTTAATCGCAGTGAAATCCTGTCACACCGGCCTGCCATAAACAGTGGAGGCCTTAACGTTATTAAGGTCTTATGAAAACCATCCTCATTATCTATCGGAAGAAATTTGATATTGTATGCGTCCTGCGTAATTCCTTTTTGATTGTTCTCTGCAATACATCCAAAAAACACACTCCCTCCCAGCGATGCAAAACAAAACCGCGGTCAATAGCTTTCTGGATTATTACAAATGAGACAATTTGACCTCCAAGGTCAAAATACACCCCGCTCATTTAGAAATACCTTCACGTGCAAAGTGCGAGTTTGAAGCCTAAAATAGAGGGTGCTTGTGGCAGGAGCCACTTGCATTCTTTTAACCCTTCTTAGCACGTCCTGACCTTGACCATCACTGTGTATGGCCCTGCACATTGTAAACGAAAAAATGACATCGAAGACATCTCTGCAGCTTCCTGCGAGTCACTGAAAACAGGTACTCATTAAAAAATCTGACAGACAAAAAGCGGATACTTGAAGGGACACTAAAGTCGAATAACAATTTACGTCAGAGTGAAAGCTCAATGTATGACAACATCTAAAACGAAAACATTATCAACAGCATTGCCCTAAATACCGAGAAATTAAGGTGTATGCACAAGAATGCATGTGCCACAGTCGGACATCCTCAAAATGATATCGATGGCATCAGATGAACCGCCTGCAATTATTCACTAGTAATCTATCTAGCTGCACTGTATAAAAAAACCTTCCGTGCATCAAAGCACGCAACAAGATGA